AGTACAACTTCAATCTTAAAATTATATTTTCAAAACATAATTTCATGAAACAATCGAAGGCATCGTTTGGAAACTTGGTTTGGGGCTAAAATAGCCACAAAAAATAAAATAGGTTATTTTAGCCACAAAAAACAAAACATCAAATCCAACCCATAATCATTACAATCCTCTCTCACAAAAAAAGCCAAAAAAGCCAAAAAGCCAAAAAGTCCTTCCCAAACCAGGCTAAAATAGCCCAGACTAAAATAGCCAAAAAGTCAAAAAGTCAAAAAGCCAACCCACTTCCCAAACGGAGGCGAAATTTAAGAAATAAGTTTAACACTGTTTATGTTTGAGGATTCCGCTACAAAATAAAATTGGTAAAATACTCATAATCATGTGACGTTCACATGTTGTTTTCAACTAATGACATAGTAAAAAAATTATGAATCAGATAATATTAACTCATTTTTATTTGATAGTTGAAAAAAAATTTGAATAGCTCATCAAAGTTTGGCTTGTTTTGGGAAGTTGGCTTTTTAGTCACTTTTTTTGATTTGTAGCAAAAGTTAAAAGTTGATTTTTTTTTAAAAAAATTTAATTTGAGAAGTTGGTTTTTAGCCAATGTTGAAATTACAATTCTACCTCTCATGGGTCAAAATGTGTTATATGGATGGAGTTGTAAATATTTTAAACTAAATGTGGGTAATTTGATCATTTTATTATGATTTGACATCATAAACAAATATTAATCAAAAAAGTCAAAAGTCACTTTTTATCAATTTCTCAAAGGAAAATGAGTGAGAACACTAACACCAAGGATCCTCTAGAGTGAAATTTCTCTAAAGTTTCCTAGAGTGCTACATTGTGTGGTTGAGATTTACTGGCAAGTCACATCATAAGAAAAATTGATGTGACTTGCCAGTAAATCTCAACCACACAATGTAGCACTCTAGGAAACTTTAGGAAAAAATCACTTTAGAGGATCCTTGCTCGAACACTAATTAGTGCTATCACTAATGATGTGACAGTGGGCCCCACCAGGAATGATTTGATGTTTTGGCCTTGGTGTTGTATTTTTTTCCTTTTTTTATTGAGTGCCATGTCATTAGTGGTCTTTTTAGAGTTCCAAAATTAATGGTCTCTATCATTGTTGACTTCTCAAATCATTTGTCTAAAAAAATAAAAAACTTAATTAAAAGTCAAAAAATTATTTTTTTATCATTTTCTTAAAATAGGCCTTGTAATTCTTTATTTATTGAAAACAATATGGAAGCAAAAGATTCAGGACTGCTTGACAATTTTTTCAAAATTTGTGCAAAAGCACAACCAAAAGAAAGAACAAATTATAAACAACAATGTTAGCACATAAGAAAATTTATCCAGAGAAATAATCTAAAAAAGCAATGTTGAAGCTTTGAAATGAATGCAAGTCACACATCAATTTTTTTATTACCTTTTTTGGGCGATTTTTCTGGACAGTGTTAGGTATGAAGAAAAAGTAATGAATAGTTTAGATAAACTTCATTTCAAGTGAGAATCTCATTATATAATGGGGGTGAGGTTGAGGCTATTATAGCCTCTTTTGAAAAATTAGTCCAAAAGTCAGCACTGTAGCACATTTTTATTGATTTTCAAAAAAAAAAAAAAAAATAGGTTGCTGCCCGGACAGTGTATAGGAATGGCAACGGGGCAGGGCGGGGCCGAGGACCACCCTCTCCGTCCCCGATCCCCAATGGCCAAAACTTCCCCGTCCCCGGCCCTGATCCCCGACGGGGAACCTGTCACAGTCCCCATCCTCGTCCCCAACGGGGATCGGGTTTCCCCGACCCCGAAAAATCCCCGATCCAACTCTGTTTTCAACATTCAACACCATCAACAGATAAAAAAAAAAAAAAGAAAGAATAATAGATCATCAAAAAAAACAGATCTGTTTCAACATTCAACACCATCAACTCTGTTTCAACATTCAACATCATCAACATAGATCAACAAAAAAAAATAACAGATCAAAAAAAAAAATTACAGATCATCAACAGATAAAAAAAAAATACAGATCATCAGATCAAAAAATCAATAACAAATAAAAAAAAGAATAACAGATCTTACAGATCTGAGCTGATGAGGGCGGCGGAGGAGGATATCGACGGAGGAGGGCGACGGTGGAGATCGGCGAAGGAGATCGACGATGTGCTACACTCCATTAGATCTGCCGTGGCGACGGAGGAGGAGGCTATAGTGGCCTGGAGGAGGAGGAGGAGGAGGTGGTGGCTTGGAGGAGGCTCCTGCGCTGCGTCTGTGTCTGTGTCTGTGTCTGTGTGAAGAGAAGAGAATCAACACACTTTCCAATACAACAACTCAACTAAAAATTCATCTCATCTTCCCAAACACAAAACTAAAATAGCCTATTAAAATAGTCAAAAAACCAAATAACCTACTAAAATAGCCACTTTCCAAACGAGGCCAATAATTAAATTTAAGTTTACATTGTTGACTCACTTTTTACATTCTACATTCAATAATATAATTAAATTTAAGTCTACATTGTTGACTCACTTTCTACATTCTACATTTAATAATGTGTCAATGAAGGGTGATTATTCGGTAGTCTGGAAGTATAGTCACGTGGTGCTTCATAGTAATATAATTGGCACCCATTCTTGTCTCATTCTATTTTTTTATTTTTTCTTATCTTTTTTTTTATATTTTTTATTTCACTTTTTAATTACTTATGGCATGAATATAAAAGATTTTCAAAATATTTAAAGATAAAAGATTTTCAAAATATTTAAAAATAGAAGATGAGTTTGACTCTAATTCAAATTTCTTCATCAAAACAAAACTCTCAATCCTAACATCTCATGAACCTCTTTCCTACGTGGCACATCCATTATTCTCTCATTCTATTTTCCTATTTATTCTTATATTTTTTTATATTTTTTACTATTTCACTTTTTAATTACTTATGGCATGGATATAAAAGATTTTCAAAATATTTAAAGAAAAAAGATTTTCAAAATATTTAAAAATAAAAGATGAGTTTGACTCTAATTCAAATTTCTTCATCAATTTATGTCTTACCCAAGGATATTTGAAATAAATAAATAAATAAATTTATAAATCTCAAAACCTAACTTCTATGACACTATGAAATTAGGCAAAAAGATTGGAGAACAAAAATAACGTTCTAAAGAAATTAAATAGGTGATTTAACCAATTATGCAAAATTTTTAGCATCTTATGTGAAAAGAAGCACATGTTTTAAATCTCATATTATGTTTTTTGCTCTCTTTTACTTTTGCAATTTATCTAAGTTTCTCTTTCTATATTCGTATAATTCATCTTCAAATTTGCATTTGATTTTTTTTTTTAATCTTTATCTTATATTTACAGGATCGATTCTTGCTTTTGATTTTTAATTAAGTTTATTCTATTTTTATCTGATTTTCACTTTCTATATTCTTATAATTTTTTATTCTTTCTTATTTCAATTAAGTAGCTTTAGAAGACAAAATTTGATTAAATTATAGGTAGTAGACACAAAATAGAGTTAAAATTTGTATAATAAGATAACATAATTGCTTATTTTTTAACTACACAAAATTTAAATTTTAAAAAATTATAAGTGGCACTTAAATCTTATATGATTTTTAACATACTACCTCGATTTTATTTTAGTTTTTTTTTTACAAATTTTAAAAAATTATAAGTGGCATTTCACTCTTGTCTAATTTTTTTAATTATTACCCTCTCCATTTCTTCTGTTATTAGAGTTATATTAGATTTTATTTTTTTTTCAAGTTTGTCTTATCTTATTTTTTAATTTTAAATTTCAACTTTGTTTTTTTTTTTTCAATTACTCAATACCCATCTAAATAAATATCATAGTATTTAATTGTTAATTTTTAGCATGTTCAACATTATTTATCATTTTTTGTTACTTGCCCGTGCATAGCACGGGTTACCGCTAGTAGTGATTGACGAGGAAGTATAACTACATAGTATTCCGGAACTATTGTATAATTTTTCGTAAAGAAAATGATTGGTGAATGATTAAAGAATATGTAAAAAATATATTTCCTTTAGGTGTCGTTTGGGAAGAGCTCATTTGGACTCTTTTGGCTCTTTAAATCACAAAAGACAGAATAGGCTATTTGAGCCACAACAGACAAAACATCACATCCAACACATAATCATTACACTCTTCTCTCACAAAAAAAAGTCAAAAAAGCCAAAAAGTCAAAAAGCCCTTCCCAAACCAAGCTTTTGAGCCCAGGCTCAAATAGCTAAAAAGCCAAAAAACCAACTCACTTCCCAAACGGATGCTAGATATTTTAATGTGTTACCACAGCACTAGATTTGAAAAACAAATGTTAAAGACCTATATTTTACATTTACAAATGCATTCACAATGATGTGACAACGGTGATGGATCCAATGTCATTGAGTATTTAACTAATTAAAAATTGATATTTGTCAGATTATATTATTGTAAGTTGAATTATAAAAAAATTTATGAAGGTTTTGAATATATTTTTTTTAAATATAAGTTTAATTTTTAGGACTAAGGGTTCGTTTGGGAAGAACTGAAGTGGGCTTTTTTGGCTATTTTAGTCACAAAAGATAAAATAGACTATTTTAGTTACAAAAAACAAAACATCATATCCAACCCATAATCATTACACTTTTCTCTCACAAAAAAAGTCAAAAAATTCAAAAAGTTAAAAAATCATTCCTAAACTAAACTTTTTAACCCAAGCTAAAATAACTAAAAAAGTCAAAAAGTCAACCCACTTCCCAAACGAAGGCTAAATAACGTTTCGTTTTTATTAATGGGTAGAATTTCTGAATTATAAACTAGAAGGGCCGAAGAAGAGAGAGAGAGAGAGAGAGAGAGAGAGAGAGAGAGAGAGAGAGAGAGAGAAGAAAAAAAAAAGAAAAAAAAAGAAAAAAGGGCAGTCCCGTCCTATAAAAACACTTGTCCCCCTCACCCTACCAAACAATCCACGAGAGCCCAACAAGGAAGAATTGAGTAAAAAAAGCAACTAGTAAGCTTTCTTCTTAGAAACAAGTTTTTTTTCTTTTGTTTCTTGTCTCCTAGCATCTGCCCCTTCAACAACCACACTCCACTCCCACTGAATTTGAGAAACAACCTTAATTTCCCCATCCCAAAACTTTCACCAACAAAGGTCTAAAACCCAGAAGCCTCTAAATTCCCCACCAACTTTGACCTAGACTATACACACATATAGCTCTTCTACTATATATTGGTTTTCTCAAGAAACAACCAAAATTTCTGACTATATGGAACCTTTTAACACGTCTATCACAATACCCATTTCTTTCACTTTCACTGGTGGCAGTGGTGGTGGTAGTAGTAGTGATGTTCATGGCATTGCCAGTCCATGGATGGACAGCAGGATATGGGGCAGGCTCCCGCAGCGGCTCGTCGACCGCATCATCGCCTTTCTTCCCCCACCGGCCTTTTTCCGAGCCCGGTCAGTCTGCAAGAGATGGTATGGACTCTTGTTTTCCAACAGCTTCCTTGAATTGTACCTCCAACTCTCCCCGTTGCGCCGCCATTGGTTCATATTCTTCAAGCAAAAAAATCTCAAGAGCTACATAACTAGAAATAATACTATTGGTGGTGGTAACAGTGGTAGTAGCGGTAGTAACAGTAACAGAGGTTACTCAGAAGGTTACCTTTTTGACCCTTACGAAGTCTCGTGGTACCGTCTTTCTTTTGCTCTGGTCCCACCGGGTTTCTCACCAACCTCATCTTCTTGTGGACTAATTGGTTGGTTATCAGAGGAGGCTGGCTCAAAAAGTCTCCTCCTCTGCAATCCGCTTGTAGGGTCCCTAACCCCAATACCCTCCACGCTCCGCCCTCGATTGTACCCTTCAATTGGCTTGATTATCACCAACTCATCCATCGACATGGTTGTCGCTGGAGATGACTTGATATCGCCATTTGCAGTCAAAAACCTAACTGCAGAGAGCTTCCATATCGATGGAGGCGGGTTCTATTCGATATGGGGAACCACTTCCTCACTTCCCCGGCTCTGCAGCCTCGAATCGGGTCGGATGGTTTATGTCCACGGAAGATTCTACTGTATGAATTACAGCCCGTTCAGTGTTCTTGCCTTCGACGTGGCAGCAAACCATTGGTCCAAAATTCAGGCCCCCATGCGGAGGTTTCTTAGGTCGCCGGGGTTGGTGGAGAGCCGTGGGAGTTTGATTCTGGTGGCGGCGGTGGAGAAGAGCAAGCTCAACGTGCCGAAAAGCTTGAGGCTATGGGGGTTGCAACCGTGTGGGACGACATGGGTGGAGATTGAGAGAATGCCACAGCAACTTTATGTTCAGTTTGAGGAGGTAGAAGGTGTCCGCGGGTTCGATTGTGTTGGGCACGGGGAGTTTATCGTCATTATGGTTCGGGGATCGGATAAGGCAGTCTTGTTTGATTTTTGTAGAAAGAGGTGGCTGTGGATTCCGCCGTGTCCTTTCACTCGTGGCGGTGGCAGTGGCGGTGGTGGTGATGAATTGTATGGTTTTGCATATGAGCCGAGGCTTGCGACCCCGGTGACAGGGCTTTTGGATCAGTTTGCACTTCCTTTTCAGTCTTTTCATTAATTTTTCCAAGTAATGTTTTAGTAGTACTAGTAATGGAATTGTGGTGGCTTTAGGGGTTGTTTGTTTGTTTGTTTGTAGAAGAAGAAATGGTAATGTGATAGTTAAGCTGTAAGGAGGTGTAATTGAACTGTTATTTATGTGATCTTGTTTATGTTTAGTCTACATCATCTATATTACATGATTACTAAAGATGCTTATTACAAATTAATCATTTATAATTATTATATCCTTTTAAAATGTATATTCTTTTCAATTATTTTTAAATTTAAATAAGCTATACGCAGTGTGACTCATTTGCAACCTTAAGAACGTAACAGAGATTTTTCTTTATTATTATTATTATGTAATAGAAAAAATTTAAAGAGATAAAAACAGTTATAATTAAAGTAATAATGATGCTTCTATTTTCACAGTGAATGATTTTATTTTCAATTCGGAACATATTAGATTATGATTGTTAGGTGTTTCGAGGGGTGTGCTTTGAGGTGCTTCGTGAGTTTGGTTTGGATGCCTCAGATTTATGTGATATTTGAGGGAGTGCTGATTGATGGAGTTGAGAGTCTTGGTGGCCTGTTCTATTTGGAGTTCTGGCGTTACATGTTTTCGGTTTTTTTGAGTTTGTATATGCTGTTGCTGCTGTTCGGGGATCTCTGATGGTGACTTTATGTTGTATTTTAAAGTTTGGTTTTGGTTTTGATTTTTCTTTTGATTGGTTGTTCACCAACTTGATGGGATGCTGGGCGTTGTATATGATGCCAATTCAGTTGGGATCATATTCCTTATACTTGTACATTCATTTTTTTTTTATTGATGCATGATGTTCTACGGTATTCATTAATAAAAAAAAAAATTGTTGATAAAAATATATAAATAATGAATGCTTCTAGTAACAAATGTTGCTTTTTCTTTCTTTCCTTTTTTTTATTTTTTATTTTTTATTATGTGCAAAAGTTAATTGGTAATTATTAAATTAATATGTATTAGAGTTCATCTTCCCACTTTTATTTATTTATCCACGTATCAAAAACATTAAAAATTTCATTTCAAATGATGACATCTTTTTAGTTGCATATGTTTTTTGATATTGAAAATCAAAATTTTAAAATTATTTCTCATGTAAAATATTTGTATGGAATTATTCATTTCAAAATTAATCATTCATTAACACAACTTTTAATTTTAAAAATAGCATTGTCTTATTACTCTAAATGTTCATTGAGCATGTTTGTTTTGAGGGATAAGAAGGTGGGATTGGACTATTAGTCCCACCGGACTAATAGTCCATTGTTTGTTTGAAAAATTTTGCTCCGGACTAATAGTTTCCCCGGACTATTAGTCCCACAAACATGGGACTATCCTATCCCATGGGGGGTGTGGGATAGAAACCGTGGGATTGGTATCCCATAGGATTATTTTGTGAAATGTCCATTTTACCCTCCATGCTATTACTTAGTGAACAATTAGAAAATGATAAAATAATCTTTTGAACATTTATAAATTATTTTTTAGTGTTGTTAATTTAAAACTATATATTAAATAAAAAATTTAAATTATAAATTATAAATTTAATAAATTAATTTTTTTTAGTGTTGTTAAAAAATTAAATTTACATATTAAATAAAATTATTTTTTAGTGTTGTTAATTTAAAATTATATATTAAATAAAAAATATAAATTATAAATTAAATTTATTTAAAAATAATAAATAATAAATTATAAATTATGGCCTTATAAATTAAATTTTTTTAGTGTTGTTGAAAATTTAATTTATATATTAAATAAAATTATTTTTTTATTGTCGTTATTTAAAATTATATATTAAATAAAAATATAAAATATAAAATATAAATTTAATTTAATTGAAAATAATAAATTAAAAATTGTGACCTTATAAATTAAATTTTTTTAGTGTTGTTAAATTATGAATTATAGATTATAAGGGTAAAATAGCCTTTTGAACATTTATCCTTATCTAGTCCGTCTAACCAAACATTGGATTTACTAAAAATAGTCCAATCCAGACATCTAATCCCATGACTAAGCAAACATAAGATATAAATCCAATCTAACCAAATAGTCCCGGGACAATGTATCCCGGGACTAACGGTCCGATAGATTACAATCCCCCCTTATCTAGTCCGTCCAAACAAACACACCCATTATATATAGGGGTGTTTGGGAACCCAAAGTTGAAGCTAAAATAGCCTCAAATACAAAAAAATTCAAATAGTCTCCTCAACTAATAATTTATATTTATATAAATATAAAAAATTAAAAAAAAACAAAGCAGCTAGTAGTGAGCAGAGGGTAGGCCGAGGGTAGGGCGAGCCTAGTCCCACAGGCTGAAATGAAATTTTTGTCCCTATAGACCAATTTTGAAAAAATTGAAGTTAGGGACAAATTTGTCATTTCAACCTCAAACGTCTTTTCAAACATAATTTTTAATACAACAATTCAAATAAAAATCCATTGTATCTTTCCAAACACAAAAATTAAAATAATCTATTAAAATAGTCAAAAAGTCTCTAAAATAGTCACATCCTAAACACCCACATAAATAAGAAAAAAAATATACAATCCAACTTTTTAGACTTAGGTGTCATTTGACATGTGGATTAGGGTAAATTAGTCAATAAAAAAGAGAGAAGAAGAACTATTTTAACCAATAAGACAAAAGGTTGTTTTAGAAAATTGATTAAAAGTTAGTTTTTTTGACCCTTTTTTTTATAAAAAACAAAAATGTGTAAAAAAGTATAATGGTATTGTGACTTAAAATAAATTAAAAGTTAACTTTTGACTTTTAGTCAAGTTTTCAAATTGAGCCAAAATATCATATTCAAATCATAATCATTTTATTTTTTATCTCACAAACCATCAAATCACCTAAAAAAAGTCATTGATAAAAAAAACTACTATAAAAAAAAGGCAATCATCATTCCAAATACAACTTTTTAAGTCAAATTAGAATATCCAAAAAGTCAATCTAAAAAAATTTATTCCAAATGAAGGCTTAGAGATGTGTAATAGAAATAATTGACTGCTGATTAGGAAATATATAAGATAGAATTAGTTGCTTTAAATATTCTAATAAACTGTCACACAATTGAATTTAGGAATTAAGTCTAACTTTTGGATTAAAATTGATAGAAATCAACTTGCTCGTTTTCATCTTTTAAAAAATACTTTTCAGAAAATTCTACTTTTCTTATTTTTCGTATTTTTTTTGTTTTTACTTAATTTTTTTTAATATTTTAAGCAATTTTTTTACTTTTTAGACACACCTAACAAAAATATACCTAAAAAGTAAAAAAAATTATATATTTTTTTAAAATTCACTAAATACCAAAAATACAAAAAAATGCAAAATTCAGTACATTTTTTTGTATTTTTATGTATTTATTAATTTTTTAAAATATTTTTTCACAATTTTTTTACTTTTTAGATACATTTAAGTAAGGTGCATCTAAAAAAGTAAAAAAAATATTTAAAATTTTAAAAATATTCACTAAAAATAAAAAAATACAAAAATCAAAAAACTTAATCCAAAAAACTCAAACGAAACACATTGAATGGTCTTGGAAAAATCAATTTTTTTTTTCAACTTTGGTCTATTTTTTAAGTGAGACCTATGCCCCAAAGTTTGAGGGTCTAAGTGGTAACGCGTTCTGTACCGCGTTATAATTCACGTAGTATATTTGGTTACTCAAAACCATTATCGGGTGAATGCGAATTTGAAACCAAAGTTAACTCTATGAAAATGGAGTTTTTGTGAAAATTCCTTAAAGGTTTGAATTAAAGGCTTGTTCCACATTGGTTTGGTGGGCAAATTTTTGTGGGTTTATAGGGCTTAAGTTTGCAATTTGGAAAGGCCCCAAACGGCATCCCAAGTTTATAGAAGGGAGAGGTTGTGGGCAAAGTGGGTAAGACTCATTGGACCCAAAAATAAACACCCGCGCACGCCACCGCCGCAGTCTGGTCGGACTGTGTCACGCCCCAAAATTTGGACAATTAAATATTAAATTAAGATTAAATCCCAATAATATTCCATCATCCAAACCCTATGGGTGAAACAAAAAAACTAAATGCCAACTAAACCATTCATCATAATTTCATAACTAACCAATACCTCCAACATTAAAGTAACAACACAAAGTCAAAATAACATTCAAGAAAAATAAAATAACTCCAAACGACATGTCCTACGATCACAGTTATTTCTTGTCACCGCCAAAGCCTCTACTAATCCTACAAAGAAAACTCGGCTGTGCTCAAACAGAACGCACCCGAGTTGTCAAGAGACAAAACGGGTCAGTATACAGGTATGCTGTTATGAGTACAAGATCTAACACCCATGTGTCCACCAGACACAGACAAAAATACATTTAATTCTTATTACAGGACAAGACAAGTAGTTCCAATCGCACCGAGACGAATAGGTAGTTTCCCGAGATACGGTGGTATTTAGTTTCTTGTTCGTATACAACGAAATATAAATTTATTATAGAATAAACAAAATAGAAATAGAAATATGGTGGGTCAACCCTGCATAAAAAGTTAGTAAGACCCGCCATCCTAAAAAAAATAATGTTAGTATAAATTAATCATAAGTAACTTACTGAATAGTTTCCTACTTAAATAATTTGAATTAACTAAAACTCAATGAACGAAAGTTGTACAGAATCAAATTTCCTAAAAGACGGCGTGAACGAATTTAACAGAAACTGAACAGGTTAAGAGAAAAACTTGATCTAAAAATCTAGACGGAATTCAATCAAAAAATCTGAAACTGAAAACGAACAAAAACTATCCTAAGATGATTTTTTTCGTAAAAGTTCAAAACATGAAAAGTGTGCAGAATAATGTTTTACTTTAGTTTACGCGAAATCAATAAAAATGAGCTCGTTTCGTGGGTTAAAACAGCCTATAAAATCTGCATTACCAAAATGAATCAAACCGACAATAACCAAGGTCATCCGATTATAAGTTCTAGTCAATCTTTTTAATAAAAAGTTACAACACAAAAGTTGTCCAAAATCACGTATACATGCATCTACTCAAATTTCATAATTTATTGAGGTCGATTACTACTTTTCAAGATGTACAAATCAATAAACTCATAATTAAATTTTTGTACCTTAACTCCACCACTTCGGCCCTCCCCTTCCGGCCTACACATATATCCTATGTGTCTCTCGTATACCTAACACCGCTCCGAAGCCAAACTTGCACGGGGATATCGTCCTGAGTTTGACTCACATTCCCCGGATGGTTAGTATATATATACGCGCGCAAATCAAAACACTCGTCTACTCATGAGAATGAGGTAACAATATATATATACACAATATCTCACACATGAGCATAAACATAACAATGCCAAGCCTAAGACATTCAAATAAATCTCATAATCCTCACTTTTTTATACACTCTTTCTCACCATTACTCAAATAAAACAACAATCCATGGAGTCAGGGTGGAGTATAAGGAATTTATTTATAGGTTCTTAATTAATTTTAATTTCATATAACCATATTAATTTTAGTTTCATATAATCATGAGGGTTATTACAAACATAAAATAAATTCATATAAAAATCCTAAATATGACATACACAACTAATCAAAATAATCAAAATTAATCAATCAACTAAAAATTCTAAACCTTACCTACACAACTAAACAAAATAATTAAAATCAATTAATCATCTTTATATAAACACAAAATCGAACTAGCATCAAATAAATAAAATAAAAACAATGAATTAAACATAAATCAAGAAAAATAAATTTTATACTCACAATATTATTTTAAAGATCAAAGAATTATTTGAAAAACTAATAGGACCACCAAAATAAAATCCTAATATTTTCATTTTTTTTTTCTTTCTTCTCTCTTTCCACGCCACACACACAGCACTCTCTCTTTCTTCTTTGATTATCAATCTCTCTCTCTCTCTCTCTCTCTCTCTCGGGCTTGCCGCCGCACAACACTTCTCTTTTCTTTCTTTTCTTTATAACCTAAAATAAACTATTATAATATATTATATAATACACATAATTATAATATATATAAATATAAGATTAAATATATATATATATAAAATATAAGATTAAATATATATAAATATCCATATATAACACCTCTTTTTTTTTTATATAACAAATATAAATATATTAATTAGTTAAATAACACATTAAATTTATTAATTACAACATTAAATTCATTAAATATTACATTAACTAAACAACACATTAAATTTTCATGTAAACCACACAATTAATAAAACCAAAAATAAAATAAAATAAAATATAATAATAATAATAATAAATGACTTAAAAAAATTAGGGTCGCTACAGACTGGGCCCGACTCAATACTTATATGGAAAATGAGTGAGAGCACTAATTAGTGCTATCACTAATGATGTGGCAGTGGGCCCCATCAGGAATGATTTGATGTTTTGGCCTTGGTGTTGTATTTTTTTCTTTTTTTATTGAGTGCCATGTCATTAGTGGTCTTTTTAGAGCTCCAAAATTAGTGATCTCTATCATTGTTGATACTTATATTCTTGGGCCAAAAACATTTGAATTTTATTTTATTTTTTGGTAAAATAAAACCTATTCAGTTTTAAATTTCAAATTTTGGTTAGAAAAATTCAACTTTTGCTTGCACTTCTTCAAACCTTATGCACAGATTCATATCTGTTTGAACTCAAACCCATATCTGTTTAAATTCAAATCAAACAGGTTTATACCTGTTGAGTTCAAAATCGAATAGATTTTCTATCTATTCAACACTGTCCAAACAAGTACCATATCTGTTGGATTCAAATTTGAATAGCCACATTTTCTCTTATAAATTTGGATTTTGCATTCAAAATTTTTGTTTTTTCTTTGCTATCCTTAATCTCTGCATTTTGCTGCATTAATTTTGTATGAGAAAAAGTGTATATACAAAATGTGTTCGTTGTGCGAATAATTTATAGTGCTGCAATTATTCATTGTTGATGATTTTATCCTGGGAGATAGACGTCCGGAATCTGAAAGTACCGTGGAGAGGATCAATCTGTTTTGAGGACAAAGTGTTAAACACTGGACTTGATCAGAATTTTGTTCAATAAATATATAAGGTTAGTAATTAATTTACTTTTTGTTTTATTTATTTATTTTTATCAGATTCTGATTTTGTTTTTGTAACAAAATAATAATCTATTGTTTTATTTTATTTTTTTACTGGTTTGATTTTTGTAATCAAACAGTCTCTCTCCTTTTTTATTTCTTCTATTTGTTGTTAAGTACACAAATATTATTTATTCTTAATACAATGAAGATTGTCCAACAAAAATAACATTACTCATAAATAAATTCTCTCTAAGAATATAAATTTTCATATAAAACATTGAATAATGATATATATACATAAAAAATATTAGAATTATATACAAAATGATATGATTGGAATGAGACAATAGAGAATTTATACTTCTACATACCAAAAACTCTTGGCACATTTCTAAGTCTGGTTTCGATTTTAAAACTTATACTTTTTTGTCAAAAATAAAATTAAATGTGGTAAACACTAAAAATATTATCATTTTAATATAATTTTATCTTTGTTAGAATAGGAAATAATTTTTAAAAATTTGAACATAATTTTTGTTAACAAATAAAATATTGGGTTAATTACACTTTTTACCATTGTAATTTGATTCAAATTTCAATTTAGTCTCTATAATTTAATTTGAATAATTTGATTTTTACACTTTAAATTTAAATATAATTTCAATTTAGTCATTCTGTCTAAATTGAAGGTTTTAACAATTTTTGGATATTTGCCATTTTAAGTTTAGTTTTAATTTGGTCATTCCATAGAGATTGAAGGTTAAAATTAATAATTTTGGGACACTTAACAAAAATTTAAAAGGAATAACCAAATTAAAACTAGACTTCAAATGTATGGACCAAATTATTTAAATTATTTAAGAATGAAAAATGTAATTAATCCAAATAAAGAGTATTTATTTATTTATTTATCAAATCCATTTTAATATTTTTAAAAAAAAATTCAAAACATCTTTTACATTTGTTTACAACATGACCTTGATAAATTATTCAATACTTTTGGAAGACTATTTTATTCCACTTACAAGTAAACACTTAATTATTTATTTCTTAAAATTCTAACTCTTTTGGCTTTAATTTTTTCAAAACTAACTATTTTAGTTGATTTTTCAATTTTTATTAAAAAATTATTAAAAAAATAAAGAGAAAGTTATGATAGTGTTTTTTTAACCCCCCAAAAAAAGACTTAATGTTTTTTTAAAAGTGAAACAGGTAAAAAATAAAGACCAAAAAAAAAAAAAAAAAAAAAAAAAAAAACCCGGAGAGAGTGAGGGGTTGGGATCTTCTGTCTCAAATTGCGTCCCAACTCTGTGTCCCACTCTTCGTGGGCTGCCATCTGTCCATAATTAAAAAATTAAGAATAAATTACAAATATCCTCTAAGATTTGATTAAAATACGAATTGTTCCTGTAATTTTGAAAATTACATTTTACTTTGAGATTTCTAATTTCATAACAAATCACATTTTTTATTAATAAATTATCAAGTCAATTACTAGTTTTTAATGATATTAAAAATATATTTTAATTAATAATTTAAGTAATTTTATTATTATATAAGAGATCAATTATAAATTTTATTTTTTAAAATTAATTTTGTTAAATAAAAAATTATAATAAAAAATATTTATAATTTTTTAACTACAAGAAATAATTTATATTTTAAATAAATTTTGGAATATATTTGTAATTTATCCAAAAATTAAAAACCCTTCCGTCTAAAAGTCTCCGTTAAGAACCTATTCTTCGTCGCTTTCTTCATCAGCTTTTGTTCCCACCGCCGACTGATCAGAAAAACATAAACAGTAGAAACCCAATTCCTTAAACAACTGTTATTCATTTATGTCCAGGAATGAAAATTCTAAAACTATTGTTGATTTCTGATCTGATCTAATTATTATTATTATTTTTTTTAAAATTTTTTCATCTATAAGTTGTATTTGATAAGACAAAAAAAACGGAGAGAGAGAGAGAGAGAGGGGTCGAAGCAGACGGAGGAAGAGGCGAGGCACGTCGGCGGCGGCCGCCATCACCACCGTCCTCGGCGAGGCACTCCGGAGCATACTCGGTATCGAACCCTAAACCCCTCTCTCTCTCTCTCTCTCTCACTCACTCTCTCTGCATGTTGAATCTCTAATTTTTAAGTAACTTGAAAGAATTACCAACTAAAATCAAATCCTAACTGTCCTAATCCCTGTAATTAAGGTCTTCAATTTGCTATTGATCTGTATATTTTGTGAATTTGGGGGGGCTTATTTGGAAAACAAGAACAATACAAGCCTGGTAGTACTGTTAATTTTAAAAATATAATAAAAAAAATTTGGGCACAACAAAAATATTTAGAAGAACAAACCTTTGAAGCATTCAAGCTGATTCGATTCCACCGGCTGTCTCTGGTTTCAAAAAATTGAACAAGGAAATTGTACTGTGATTCAATCGTGCATAGTCAATTAATTGCCACCTTCAAAGTAATCAATCGCTAAATTAAGAGTATAAATTATAGGATTTGTGTTTGTGTATAGTAATAAATGTGTAGTTGGTGTCTAATGAAGAAAACAGAGAGGATTGAGGAGGGTGTACCAGAGCTCTTCCGCTACATCAGCGGAATCTGCTAACATATGCCTGGTGCGGTAGCTCTGATAAACCTTCTGCACCCACATGTTTTATTAGGTCATCGCCGGTCCTTACTCAAAATTCTACTCACATTTGAGTAAAAATTTGAATAGAAGTTTTATTTGATATGAACCACTTCAATAGACAAACTCAGATTTAAGCATGAAATTTTGAGCAAAAGCTTTACTATTGACGAAGTGGTAAATTTGAGAGCCACAAAATAGTCTTGAAAATTTAGAGTAAACATTTGGGTCTTCCTTGATTTGGGTAAAAAATTAAGTAAAACTCAATTTGGTGTAAGTTTGGGTCAAGGAATGGAGGGTGTTTTGAGTGTTTTTTACCCAAATTTAAATTTGACATAGCTTTGAGTCGAGGATTGGAGATGCCCTAAGGAGTTATTAGAGAGGATTAGATATTAATATTTAATGCATAAAATATTTAAAGCATAAACCTGTAGTGCATGCATTTAACTAACAAAAACACAAGGAGGCAGTCCTCCAATACAAAGAAAAAAGACTTGACAAACTTAAAGTTCTATATATCCTGTTGTGAACTTTGAATTCTGATTGCATCATTGCTTCAAATCTGAACTTAGATCTCAATATATGTTTTTGGATTCACATTCCGATATTTATTGGATCTCCAATTATTCTTTTTTTTTTGGGTGAAAGATTTTGCATTAAAGCAAAAGCAACAGCTACAAACAAATGAAGAACATACATCCGAAATCAAAAATATAAAAGCTAAGGGAGAAAACAAACTTCCACCCTGTAGCCAAAAACAAAAATAGAAAGACTAGCCAACAATAATAGTATGCGTATGATCACTTAGTGACTGAAAATCCTAAAAGAAATGCCCCAATCATCACACATTCTTCTAGCACTAGGACAAAATTCCACATTTCTTAATGAGCTAAGCTTAGCTCTAATATCACCCACTAGCCCATCCAAAACCACATGAACAGGTAGATCTATCTTCTTGAATATTTTACTATTCCCTTCCTTCCAAACATGATACATAGTACCAGCAAGGGTCAACCTGTAATCATAAGTGCTGTAATAGCCTTACCTCCACAATTTCCAGCAGCCCAACTAAATTCTTCAGCAAAAGTCAGCAAATCTTCTACCAGGAAAAATTCTCCTCAAAAGAACAATCCAAATATATGCTGAAAAATCACAACAAAAAAATAAATGATTTTGATTTTCTTCAAACCCATTGCACAAGACATACTTGTTTTCAAAAACAATGCCCCACTTCAACAGCCTATCCATTGTGGCTAATCTTCTCTGAACAACAAACCATTGCACAAAGCTCCACTTAGGAACATTTTGAGGAAACCACACCAATTTTTTTCTAAGGGATGATAGGGAATACAGTTTGAATTGCTTGCCAAGCTGAAGCCACAGTATATTCACCATTACTAGAGGGTAGCCAAAACACAGTCAGGCCTATTAGGATTCGGTAGGAAGCTAGCAGGGGTATTAGCTTCAATCTCAATAGTAACCACTTGCTACCTCTGGGCCATGCTGGATTGCCATTGAAATCGAACCTTTTTGTATACAGGTGGTATCCTCTTAATGTCTTCCTTTTGAATAAAGTTTGTTTACTTATATATATGAAAGAGTGCCAGAAGATGAAGGCAGAAGATGCTTGCACCTTTCAAAAACCTTGTTGGGCTTCTTGTATTAGTTGCTTTTGAAATCATTTCCATTCGTTTGAGCTTTTTGTAACAGTGAGGACATACTTTTAAATTCCATTTTCAATGCTTGATGTGATTTATGATAGTTAGCTAACTAAACTCCATTGACTGCCCCTCTCTCTCTCTCTCTCTCTCTCTCTCTCATGTATGCTTCATAATAGCCAATTAATAGTTTTTATTTTTCGGTAAATAAATAGTGACTTCCCCAAGGGGCGGTGTAATAACTAGATACTCAACATGACATGCCAAATTTTTGTTTATTTGTAGGTTGGAGTTAACAATGTCGTCGGTGATAAAGAAGTTTTTCATTGCCTCAATGTTTATGTGGGTAGCTCCAATTGCAATTTTATATGGTTTTAACCATAATTTATTTCCCGGTAAGCTTACTTTGTCTGTAAACCTCTTTAATCTTATCATCTTGAAAGATGCTCAATCATTTCCTAATATTTTCCTGTTTTAAATTCTGAAAGAACACTTTAAGAATTGATGGTGTGTCATGGAGGTTTTTCCTGAACTCGAACAATGATTTTGTGTTCAACTACATAGCTCCCGTGTTCAAAATTTGTGAATATAATGGTCAAAACTTGGTCGTTTAGTACCGCGGCATGTCCTTCCTGCATGAACTTGTGTCTGTTTATGTCTCCCTGATTTTTATAGTGCCTTGAACTTTAACCATGTAAAGTTTATAACTTCTCCTTACTCTAGTCATCACTCCAACTATCTTTTTTTTGCTGATAAAAAAAAAGACTATTGATGAAAGCAAACAAGAAAAGAACAATACATCAATAAAGCAAGGCAAGAGTGAGCAACTACATACAGCCAAACCTAATCTCAACTAGGTTGGCACCAAGATGACCGCAGTATGACTGCTACTCAAGCCCAGGTTGGTGAGGCAACAACCAAAAAAGAAAACAGAAAAAAAGAAGTACAGATGCCTCGAAAAAACCAGAAGAAAACCAATAGCCAATTAGCCAATGGATCAATCAACCCCTACCAAGACACCTTCTAATCTGATTTAGATTATAGATAAAATCACTCACTGGGTATTGCGATTCCTTTGATGATTATCTGAGCCAAAGAGCCAATCTAGTATTGATAAGCTCAGACAAGACCTCAACATCACCCTTTGCCTTATTGAAAACATACTCATTCCTTAGTTTCCATATAGGCCAAAGAGTAACAAGAAGGACTGATCTCCAAAACACTTTTTCTTTCTTCTTAAACTTAGCACCCTCCCACCAATGCATCAAAGAATCAACTGTGCCAGGAATAACCCAATGTAATCCCCACCACTTCAACAAGGATGACCAAACCTTCCACACAAAAGGGCAATGAAGGAGCAGATGTGTTACCAACTCCAAATCGTGTTTACAGAAACGACACAGAATACGGATTCCTCCAGACAGGACCCAATTTTCTGTAAGAATACAGAGGTCTTTACCTTATGTTTCCAAGCAAACCAGCCAAAAAACTGAACGTTAGGAGGTAAGACATTATTCCATAGCAATCTACTAACCTTAAGGTAATTTCCTACTTCCAATGAACAAAGCTTGTACAAAGAAGATACCGAAAAAATACCTGATGCTGTGGCTGTCCACTTTGGGTAATCAATTCTATCCAAGCTTACTGAAGGACCAGATGAGAGAATAGATAATAATCTTTGCAATTCCGCCTTTTCCCACTCAAACAATACTCTTCTAGGCAAAATGTTCCACTCCCTTGAGGTTTCCTTTAAATCTGCAAACAGATGAAGTGAACCCCTCTTTTCCTTTGATAAGCTGTACAATCTGGGGAACTCTATTTTCAAACAATGGGAATTACACCACACATCCTCCCCAAATCTTACCCTACAACCATCCCCCACCCTTACTTTAAAATTATTTCGAAAACACTCCATCAGAGAAGGGTGCTGGTTAGCCTCTGAACTAATATCATTCCATAATCTTGACTGCCAAGGGCTATTCCCAGGAATAGGTAACCAGCCACTCCTTAATATTATATTTACTGCAAATCACTCTCTTCCACAGTGCATTTATCTCACAAGCAGATCTCCACCACTACTTTAGTAACAAACAAGAATTTGCAATTCTAACCTTCCTACTGCCCAAACGTCCTTGATCAATACTTCTAGCCACCTCCTTCCATTTAACTAAGTGAATTTTTCCTTTGAGATCTAAACCTCCCCATAAGAATACAGCTTGTAATCTTTCAAAATCCTTGGCTACCCCTTCAGGCATTCTAAACAGAGACAAATAGTAAATAGATAAGCATGATAGGACTGATTTAATCAAAGTCAACCTACCAGCAAATGACAAGAGCCTCCTCTTCCAACCCGCTAATCTAGCTTTAACTTTATCAAAGACTGGTTTCCAAGTCCTCCTCCTACTAGGATTTGCCCCCAAAGGAATCCTAAAATAATTCAATTGTAATGAGCCAGCCTTACTGTTAAGTTTGCTAGCAAGTTCTACCAGGATATTTTCCTCCACACCTACTCCACAAACCACACTCTTATGATAATTTATTTTCAACCCATATACAAATTCAAAACATCGTAGGATTCTCTTGATATTTACTACTTCCTGTTCATCAACTTTACAGAATAAAATAGAATCATCAGCAAACTGCAAATGGGACACAAGTACACCATTTGCCCCATGAGCACTGAAAATTTTCCCTTTTGGGTCCAAGAAATGGTCCAGTTTTGGAAAAATGGAATAATTTTCGAGAAAATTAGTCAACCTCAGTAAAAATTCTCAAAAAATGTTTTTGCAAACGTCCACTGCTCAACGAGCATGGAACCTACTATTGAGATGCACAACCTCGGATTCATAACAATGAAAAACTGCCCCTTATCTGAAGGACACTGCATGGCAACGGAAAGTTGTCCCTTGTTTGAATAGCACCGCAACACATTGTAGGGCAATGGAGAGTTGCCCCCTGTTTGAATGGCACCACAGTGCATTGTAGTCAATCCTCAGAATGACGAACACAACCAAACTCTCTCGGATATAGAGAAGGCAAAGATGATCCCCTTACACCCTTAATTAGACACTTTTCGAGAGCTCTGGACAGTAGTACATTTAAACCTTCTGCCACTATATTGAATAGGAAAGGGGAGAGAGGGTCACCTTGCCTTAACCCTTTTTGGGGACAGAATTCTTCAGTGGGAGAGCTGTTCATAAGGACTGATACCCTAGCTGATGTATTCTCTTATCCAAGCTATCCATCTATCACCAAAACCAAATCTTGATAACATTGAGAATAGGAATTCCCAATTGACTGAATCATAGGCCTTTTCAAAATCAAGCTTTAGTATCTTTGACTTCTTCCACCCATCAACCACCTCATTTGCTATTAAGATTCCATCCAAAATATTTTTGCCACTTAAGAAAGTAGATTGAGCCTCGCTGATTATTTCTGGCAGAACATTCCTTAGTCTATTTGATAACACCTTAAATAGAACCTTGTAAACTAAGCCCACTAGACTTATAGGCCTAAAATCTATCAATCCCACTGCATTCTGTTTTAGGTACCAATGTTATAAAAGAATTATTAATACCTTTGACCAATTTACCATGCGTGTGAAAATCTTTCATGAATTGGATAAAATCTCCCTTCATTATCTTCCAATGCTTCTGGTAGCATAAAAGGTTAAACCCATGGCCTGGAGCCTTGTTTCCATCACAATTTTTGATGGCTGCGCATATCTCATCCTCTGAAAATTCTGATTCGAGCATTTCAAAAGCATGACTGTGCCTTACTATTTTGAAGACACCATCCAGTGATGGTCTACATTTCCATTCCTCTGAAAAATGTCTGATGAAGTGCAAGCATACCTCATCATGTTTGACTTTCCCAGGATCTTCATACACCAGGTGCCTGTTTGGCCGAAATTATTTACAGCTTATTTCAGCTTTCAGTTTAATTTAAGCTATTTTGATGCGTTTGGTTTAGCTTATAGCTTATAGCTTATAACTTTGTGGAAGTCAGAAATCAGCTTATTCTTTGAGTGGGGCAGGAGATGCTTTAAGAATAAGCTGGAAATCAGCTTAAGCTGAAAGTTATAAGCTATAAGCTGTTTAGGCATAAGGTATAAGCACTTTCCCACAGCTCTACCAAACAGGGCTCAGATCTCCAACAGTTACTGAATTGAGCCCATTTTTGCTCTGTCTACTAGCAGCCATGACATGAAAATACCTAGTGTTCTTATCACCCTTTAGTGCCCAGTCAAGTCTAGCCTTTTGAAGCCACATCCATTCAACCCTTCTACTTAACTTCCAAGCCTCACTTATCACTTCTTTTCTTCTTGCCTTCTCAACATCTGCTAAATCTCTTGTTTCTGCTAGCAGGTCAAGCTTGTTCAATTCCTCCTCGACAGCCTTGAGATTGGTTGTAACATCCCCAAATACTTCTCTATTCCACTTTCTCAAAGCCTCTCTTAGCAATTTAAGTTTACTATGAACGATGAAACCTGCCCACCCAACTACTCTAGCCTCCTTCCAAATTTTACTCCAGAAAAGCTGAAAACTGAGGATGTAAGATCCATGCATTGATGAATCTAAATGGTCTAGGGCCCAATCCCTTTCATCCTCCATTAGGATTAAGGGGCAATGGTTTGATAGTAATCTAGGTAAACCCCACAACTTGAATTTGAACACTTCTAACCACTCTAGATTTGCTAGAAATCTATCTATCTTACTCCACTTTTCCCCTTCTTGCGCATTGCACCAAGTGAACTTCCTACCCAAAAGAGAGAGATCTGAAAATTCACGAGACTCAAAGAAATTGTTAAAATCCCTCATACCTCTGTCCCTCCTAGAGCAGCCTATCCTCTTACCTACACTTTTGATTTCATTAAAATCACCACCTATACACCAGGGCTTAGAGAAAGCAGACTTCAACCCACCCAGAATATTCCCAAGCTTTTCTCTCTTACCCACTACATTAGGGGCATATATATTCACAATAACACACTCAAAAGAGTTGAAAAGTTTACCTGAAATTAGAATAAAGCTCCTATTACTGCAACATTCTGAGAGTTGGAATATCCCAGGATCCCAAATACACGGGAGACCTCCTGATGAGCCTTCTGAATCTACACACAAATGTTCCATTTTTATCTATTGGCCATTTTAACATCCAAATTAGAGCAACTAATTAACTTTGTTTCTTGGAGCAGAATAATATCAATCTTTCTATCAGCAATCAATCTTCTAATCTTTCCCCTCTTCTCCCTCCTACCCAATCCTCTGCAATTCCAAGAAAGTATCTTCATTAGGAAACAAAATATAAACTCTGAAGCCTCCTATGGACACAGCTCAAACCACATCCTTCATCCCTCCACCAATCCTCCCCTTGCCCTTCAGCTCCATATCTGAAATCATCTTCGAAGCATCTGCTTCATTCCCATGATAATTAATCGCCAACAAGCTCCCCATTTGAAGAGTAGCATGAGCTTCCTTTAGGATTAAACTTCCCTCCCCTAAGCTGCTACCAAGATGAGATGAAGATAAAGATGCTAAAGCTGCCACTGCTGGTCTGAAAATAACATTCTTAGATCCTTTCTTACTTGATGACACAGCTTTATGGCTAAGGTTTTTAACGAAACCTGAGAATCTGCCCATTTGCATTTGATTGCAATGCCCTCCTTTCCTTTTGTCTCCCATCTTACCTTTACCCTTCAAAGTCTCCTTCCCCTTCGAAACTTCCTTCCTCAGATGGTTCTGGTTAGAATGATTACTCCTCTCATTTGGCCTAGAGTGGTTACTACTCTCATTGGGTCTATCAACAGCTTTCTTTTTTATTTGACTTTTATCTGGGCCAATTTTATCCACAGACCCACATAGCCCACAATTAATTGTTTGATCTTGGCCCAAAATAACCTCAAGGTTGATACCTGGTCTATCTTTGCCCAATCCAGTAAAGTTCTTAATGAAGCCTGGTGTATATACCTGCCTCGTTTCCACCCATATCAAAGCTTTCCAACAGCAACAATGCCTCCTTTTCAAATACTTTCCAACATTTACCTTTCCTAAGTCATTTAGGGGTTGTTTGAGATGTTCGAAATAAGTGCATTTTTTGACTTTTTATGAAATATGGGTTGAGTATGGGTTGGGTTTGAAGTGATGTGGTAGAGAGGGGATGCGATTTAAATAAGATGATGTGACTTAGGGGTGGTTTGGGATGATCTAAATAAGTGCACTTTTTAACTTTTTATGAAATATGGGTTGGGTATGGGTTGGATTTAAAGTGATGTGTTAGAGAGGTGATGTGACTTAAATAAGATGATGTGACTTAAATAGGATAGTGACTTTTTGACTTTTTGGCTTTTTTAAATCATGCCAAACAAGGCCTTAAATAGGATAGTGACTTTTTGGCTTTTTGACTTTTTAACTTTTTTAGGGGATGACAAACAAGGCCTTAATTAATGAATCCTCAACTGCTGAAGCATGTGTCAAACCATTAACATCGTCCAGCTCAACCTCTTTCCCCATCTGACTTGTCTCACTAACATGGTCCAACTCATTCCTTCTGTCCAGCTCATCCACTGAGTTAGCTGCCTTGTCATTCTCTTTCTCCTCCTCCTCTCTGTTTCTGACTTGAGACCCTTGAACGGTAATGTCGAAAGAACCGGATTCTTCATCTTGATGAATCTTACACTTGCATACCTCTTTTACCACCTTAGATACTACTCTTTGCTCCTCACATACCCTTATTGGATAACACTTCCCTTTACACTCCAGGTTGATTACATTATTAATAAGCTCCATACTCCTTGTTGCTACTCTGATTTTGGCACATTTGAATGAAGCTGGATGGCTTGCATCATCATCAAAATTAATTTCACCCCAGATGCTTTCAATCTTCTTTAGAGTGTTGCTATTCCAAAGATTTAATGGTATACCATAACAGCTTAACCATACCATTCTCTCTTGTTCTAGCTGCAGACCGACTTTCCATTCAGTAATAAATTCACACCACTCATGTATCCATGGATAGAATCGTGGTAGTTTAGATTTCATGTCTTCCTTTGAATTGAAAGTTACTACCACATCTCTACCACCTCCTTCTCTTACCAGAACATCTCTCACTCCTCTTACCTTTAACTCCTTTTCCAACTCATGAGCATTGAGGTTTGCTTTGAGCCTTAATATAACACTCTCATACAACCATCCATTTCCCATCTCAGCGACTGCAACTTTTGTACTTGCTTTGTTTTGATTAATCTTTGCATTTACTACTTCTGCAAAGGATCTGTGGTCCTTAACCTGAAACCTATTCCCTTCACCCCTTGCACTTTCGAACCTTCGACTAATGGAATCATGCACCTGGCTCTGATGAATATCACTAATAACTGCTTTCTTCTTGCCGTACTCAGCCTCTTTCACTTCCAACGCATTATCATCCACCCACAGTCTATTTGCTTTTTGAATTGCCATTTCCTTAGCCACTGGGCAGTCAAACCTCACAAAACCAAACCTCGTATTCTTGACCTTGCGCCTCTTTTGTGGGATAAATACATCCTTTACAATGCCACACTTCATGAATAACATATATAACCCTTTTCGATCCATAGAGTTGGGAATATTATCCACAAAAAATGTGAACAAACCTTCGCTTGGCCCATTGATTCTTGTTTCCAGTCTTCCTCGTCGTTTAACCACATGGCATCAAGACCCTCCAATCCCTCCCATCACTTCAACTATCTTATTAACTCTTCTCCCTTATCTTGCTTTGTTGTTGTTGCCTTTAACTTCTCATGGATAATAGCTTCATGACTAAGGTACTGTTTGATAAAGTTGAAAATTGAAAACTGAAAATTGAAAAGTAATTATTGAAAATTGAATGCTGAATTTATTAAGTTAAAAAGTCGTTTGATAAAAATTTAAGTGCTGAACTAAAAATAAATTATTTGATACGTATAAGATTAAATTTGAAATTTATTATTTTTAAATTATATATTTAAATTTTTATATTGTAATGGTAATGGTAGTGGTAAGGGAGATGGTATGATGATGATGGTAGTTGTAGTGGTAGCGGTAGTAGTGGCGGCGGCGGTGGCGGTGGTAGCAGTAGTGTGGTGGTGGCGGTAGTGGTAGTGTTAGTTGTAGTGGTAGTGATCATTGTGGTGGTGGTGCTGGCAATGATGGCGGCGGTGGCGGCATGAAGGTGGTGGTGGTAGTGAGTTTATAATAGTTAATACTGATACTTATATTTAGGTCTCGTTTGGGAACTGACTAATTTAGTAACGTTTTGGCTATTTTGCTAAAATATGAGCTAAAAAAAACTAGTATGTTTGGGATGACTTTTTGGCTTTTTACGAAAAGATGTGTAAAAAGTAGAGAGAAAAGAGAATTTTTGACTTTTTCGTATAGATTGTTGGTTTTTTGATTTTTTTAGTGACTTGTTGACTTTTTGGCTAAAAAAGCCATTTGCCAAACGAGGCCTTAGTATTTATTAATTCAGTCAAAATTAAGTAAGTTTCATATAACTTGCAATTTTCTTAAGTCTTAGCCGACATTTTAAGATGCACTTAAAATTTTAAGTGATATCAATTGTGGTTATCAAACAGACTTAATTGATTATCACTTAATATATTCAGTTTTAAGTACTGAATCATATTATCAAACACTTTCTAATTTTGTATTGTCATTTTATTTTAAAACTACGGACACAACTAGAAAGGTTATCATTTTATTTTAAATAATCTAGTATCATTTTCTAATCAATCAAATTGTTAGTTTTCTAGCGCACATGACTTTAGTAGGTTTCATTGGCATTGTTGTGCTAATGATCACCCAAGTCATTTTGCAAGTTTTTTTAAATCAAAGAAAGTATTTGGCTTGTCATATCAATTTTAGCATCATCCTTGTGATTTATTTAGTTTGCTGAAGATGTGAAAGAGAAAATACACGTATAACTTTCTAGACACTTTGTTTGGCTTCACTATAGTAACTGAATGAAGAAAAGTGCAAAAGATGGTCAATCCTCTCTCATTTACTACATTTGGACCAATACTTTTAATAATACGACGTGCTATTTTAATTTGAATCTTATAATTTTAATGTTCCATGGAATCTGAATAGGATATGATGATATTCTATGTTAAATTTTGTGGTTCAAGCTGTGGAGTCAGTATTTCATGTTGCTGTTGCAATTTAAGCATTATTCATCTGGAACAGGTTCAACCCAGTTGTCCTCCCATTCCATAACGCTATTGAGCGGATTTCTTGCTGTCATATCAGTGAATGTTGTCATTGCATTCTACATATGTATGGCGATGAAGGAACCTTCAGATAAACACGAGCCAGATCCTGCATTCCTCGCTAATGCCAAGGCTAGTCTAAGGCAGAATAGACCAAACGAAGATGAGGATTCATCACAAACCCGCAAAAAAGAAGAGTAGGACTTTCACCAACCAGGAAAAAAATGCAGAATTGAGGTTTGGGCAATCATTTATTTTATTATTCTTGAGATTCACACATTAATGTCACATTCTGCATTCGGCTACCAAAAGGGAGTGAAGTGAATTGAGGGATGCACAAATCTTTTGAGCGATTACCATCAAGTCACACATCTTTTTGTGCTTATAAAACAGGGTTGTGTTTTTCATTTGGTATTACACTTGAGATCACACATTTACGTGGTGTCAATTGGTACTGATGTTGTGTTAGATGATTAAAATTTGTTTGATGTGTTTTCCAACATTTCTGTGCAATCTCTTTCTGCGTGTTCATCAAATTGATAGTATAATTTGATGGGTAGAGAAATTTATCAATACAAGGGCAATCAAATTTGTATCTTCAATGGATTCACCCGTTACTACTCCCAGACCTCATCTAATGGGGACTAAATTGAGCGAGCTTCTCTTTTTTCTTCAAAAAATGTTAGTGGCCACCATTTATGTAATTATGTCAGTTTTGGCTTCTTTCTTTGACTGTTCTGCCCCAAGATCGGTTCCACTAATACCTATTTCCGTGATCGAAAAACTATTCACCTTGTAGGGTCCGCGGAGAACATTTATGCAAAATATCATATTAATTAGATATTGATAGTCACATGATTGGATTAGATTTAGCTCAAACAAAATGGATTATTTATTGTCAAAGTCACGTTTACATTCCGTTTTTAATACAAATATGATATAATTATGTGGCTGTCAATATTCAATCAATTTTTGGCCTATGAAATTGTGCTTGAGGTAAGCCCCATCTTCTTTTGGTTTGTGGAAGTAGACAAGTTTTGTTGAACTGCTTAAAGTATGGTATCTTTTGCGAGTGCAATATATTTTTATTTTGATCTTGTTGGCATCAAATTATGGCTATTCTAATGCACAACATGGCTAGTAAAAGAAGGGGAGGATCAGGACATGTATGAGTTGATTCTAATACAGTCATCTCATTCTAGGCACTACTAGCCTAAAAGGTGAGCTTTCTTCTTCCCTAGACTTTATAGCTAGGCGCCAGGCCATTATTCAGATAGGGCTTAGAAAAGCTGAGGTTGACATCAAAAGTTATGGCATTCCAAGTTCTTCCCCACATTGGTTGGCCACCAATTCATGCATTTGTTCTTCCATTGAGAGCCTCAGTTTAATCTCTGTAAATATTTTAAAATCACTTCCTTTGGATTTTGATATGAATTGCCAATTTGTGTAGTTGAAACTATTAGCTAGCCTTTTATGAAATGACATTCCTTTCTAATAGTAAATTATGATTCCATTTGCAATAAATTTTGTCTATCATTTTTCTTAATGAGCTAGACGTAAGAATGATCATTCTATAATAGACAGTTTAATCTCTGTAAATATTTTAAAATCACTTCCTTTGGATTTTGATATGAATTGCCAATTTGTGTAGTTGAAACTATTAGCTAGCCTTTTATGAAATGACATTCCTTTCTAATAGTAAATTATGATTCCATTTGCAATAAATTTTGTCATCATTTTTCTTAACAACAATGATTCATCCCCCCTTTTCCTCCCACTCCTTTTGACCCCCTCTCTCTCTCATTGGTTACATATTTTTTTTTTTCTTTTTTTTCCTGCTCCTCCAATCATCACCCGCTACGTGGCAAAGGGGGTGAGGGGGTGACCCCAAAAGGGGATCCCAAGCATTATTCTTTTCTTAATGAGTTAGACGTAAGAATGATCATTCTATAATAGATTCATTTTAATAAACTATACATTATCTCGATCTTGAAACTAATAGCGAAGGGATTAACAATATCTTAGGTTATTTATCTTATTCAACGTTTAGAATGTGTCTAGATTAATAGAATCACTAAACATGGAATATATGGTGTAATGACCATAACTTCAGTATATTTTGAAATTTTAACTCTAATTTGAGTTTCCCTCAATCCTCCCATTTTGTATCCTTCCTCCTCTATGAGACACAATAAGCTCTCATGTGACAGATATATAGTTCAAAAAGACAAGTAGATTGAAAATCCACTTTTATATCTAAACATGAAATTTATAATTAATTAGGAAAATATTTATGTTTCTTTTGACTCATTCAGTGCCCTTACATATACCATAGTCAATTTGTAGAAATCTTCATAGATAGATGAAAACAACTACTAACCCACATGCACAAAAAGAGGGGCAAAAATTAAAATAAAAACAAGAACAAGCATAAACCACTACTAACAAAGTAGCCTGATCTTGGCCTAAATTTAATAAAGTTACCATTAAAAAATAAAATTGATTTATTGATATATCATGCACTCTTGTGCATTGACATTTTTTTTAAAATCCGGTCCACAATAATAATTTGTGAGATGGCGAACTTTGGTTAATTTTTTCCATATCAACAATTCAAATTATGCTCAACTATTATAAAAATGTGATGAAAACAAAATCAGAGGAAATAAAACATTCCTATTTTATAGAAAAAGTAGACAAAAATGAACAACTTTGCTACCAAATTTATGCAAAACATGTAAAACAAAATCATAAAATTTATGTACACAAGCACTTTTTTTAAGCCCACTTTGCCAAGATGGACATGAACCCAGCCCCTATAAGAAGTGAGAGATTGGAACTAAGTTGCAGTTTTAGGTTGCTTTGCATTCTAGGGTTCATGAAATCAGCGGCAAGAAGGTCGACGAGCGCCATGTAAATTAGGATTCCAGCAGAGGCGGAGTTGAATATGCCTTCGACAATGAGAGAACTTGGGCTATTTTCGTCGTATATGTTTGAGATACCAAAGCCGATGGCTATTCCAACTGGTGTGGTTAGGGAGAAAAAAATCGCCATAACCGTCGTTGCTCGAGCCTTGAATTTGGCCTGCAAAACAACAATACCAACATTGATTTATTTGTGGTTTTTTTTTTTTTTCTTTTTTTCATGGAAAACGAGTCATGTGGGATTGGAATAGTTATTTCCTAAAATATGGGTGATATCTCTCAATAGAATAATGTTATATGCATAAATTAGTATACTAATTAGTATACCAACGAATAATGTATTATAATTTTAAAAGTTTTGGATATTTTTAGTTTGTATAGTGGGTGAAGTTATAGTGTTGAAGTAATAATGTCATAATATATATTGATATACCAATTAATACATGTAGCACCACCGCTTCGCTTTAATATCGGTGTATGTAGCGCCACCGCTTTAAAAATTTCAAATATTAATATCAGTAAATAGTATTTATTGATGCATTTAAATATTTAGATGAATAATTGAAGATGAATTGATGCTCTTAGCTGTTTGATTCAATGGTAATTTGATCCTAGTGATTCTATTCCATTTGAAGTAAGTGAAATCTCATTGCCTCCAATGCAGTGTTGTTATTACCAAAAAATAATAATATTATTATGCAAGTGAAAAAAATATATAAAATTTATATATGATGACATGATTGCACTAAGACTTAAAATGTATTTTTTTTTTTTAATAAAAAAGAGTGCATATATCACTTTCATCCCATCCAAAAAAAGATATACTCGGAGAGTTTTTAAGTTTGAAAAGGTGAAAATATATAAATTTATAAATAACAAAGGTCCTAAAATATTTATTAATAGTTGATTGAGTTTTTGATGTAATTCAATAAAATTTTCAATTAGGCAATGCCAAAGGTTAAAAAAACAATAAAAAATCATTAAGTGTTTCGAGAGTCCCATCAAAGCTGCTAGATACAAAAAAAACAACTTATTGCATGTGAACATTTGTAATGCAGTGGCAAGGACGAAATGGCTATAGTGGAGAGGAATGCATACGGGGTCTTTTGAAAAGTTGTCAAAAAAAAAGTCAATTTTTTGATTTTTTAATTTTTTTAATAAAAAAAGTCAATTTTTTTATCCAAAATAACCCAGTTTTTTGTCTAAAAAAGTCATTAAGAAAGTCACAAAACTCCAAAAGTTAACTTTTTATCAACTTTCCAAAACACCACTTAGTTAGTAAAAAATTAATTTTTTTGACTTCTTAAATTTATTTTGTCTTTTTATAAGTTAAAAATGTGAGAAGTGATGTGACTCAAAATGAATAAAAAATTAAAAATTGATTTTTTTTTTTTTTACTTTCCAAAAGACCCCTAAGTGACACATTATTTCTATAATAGTATGACACAACTACACAAAGGGACATCCTTATTTTTGACATTTACCACCACCACCACGCCCTTTGTTGATGACTTTGTGGCATGAATCACCAACTAGACATCTTTTTTGTATTTTGTTTGTGCCTTCTAAGTGCGTGGGGGCTGCTCTCTAGGGCCATAGACGTGAGATAAAAAGGGAAATAACCCCACATGATGTAGGACATGTAGACCTATTTTTACTTTACCTATTTTGTTTGTTCCTGCCTTGTAAGTGGGTGGAGGCCGCTCTCCAGGGCGATAGACGTGAGATAAAAAGGTCAATAACCCCACATGACGGGACGATTTATTTTTAAATATGTGTCTCATTTTATAAAATATATCTGTATTTTTAAATTTATTGTGCCCCTCATATGGGGTACTCTACTATGGAAGTATTACATACTTTTGTGTGTTATAAAGTTTTAATAATACAAATCGATCAGAAAATTAAATACATAATTCTTTTATATAAGTCATGTTTTATCTTTTTATGAGTTGTGTACTAATGTAAAAAGATTGTATGTTGTAATTAACTCTGTGTAAATAGAAAAAGTGACGTGATGAATTATGCATGCATATGTATGTAACACATTGAAAATAATGGCCCACTCCTATACGGTACTCCAAAAGTAACGTGTCTTTTGCGTGGTAGATGATCAACTATGCATGCATGTAGCACAATGAAGAAAAAATATTGAATTGACTACCGAAGGAAGTGGGGCCCATTATATGGCTACTCTAGTGCACAAGTATTGGATTTTTTTTTGTACTAGATCAACTAGTGCACAATGTATGTAAACGCATTGAAGATATAAATTACATTCACCATCTTGACATTTAGAAAAGATATAATAAATTTTACAAATGTGATATAATTATATTGATATTTTTTTGCAGTAAGGTTAAAATAATTACAAAAATAAAGATAGTTTGTAAACATAAGAATAAAATATATATTTTAGTATAAAAGTGATAGTGATAGTGATGTTATTTTTTTTTCCCATACGACTAACAAATTGCTAATAAAAAAAATACATATTATATGAAATAAAACTTTAATAGAACTTACTATATAGTTATCAATATTGTGATGATTGATGTATTTTCTCAAATCTCAAGGGAGGATAGTGTAATTTAATCCATGAAGAAAATGTTGACCAACAAATTAATGATAATAAACAAAACAATAATGCTACAACAAAAAAATAAAAAATATAAAAACATAGAAAAAATAATATCTAATTCATATTCAACAATAGTACGGTGAAACTTCCGCACTTAAAAATGAATCTGATTCTGAATCACATACTATTTTCCTTAGATATTTTTTTGTGTTTGTTCTTGATCCCCAATATTAGGGTAAGCTAAACTTACAATATTTGAATAAAAAGCTAAACTTCCAATATTTGAATAAAAGGAAATGAAACAAGTAATTTTACCTGAGAAATGCAACCTCCAAGACCCATGCCTTCAAAGAATTGATGGAAAGTCAAAGCTGCAACAAGAGGCTTTATTGTCTTTGGAGTTTGAGAAGCACCCAAAGATATGCCAATTATCACAGAATGAACCACAATCCCCAACTCCAACACCTAGGTAAAGGCAACAATCATTTCATTTGAGTAATCCAAATATTAAAATGTTAAAATAACTTTGAGAGAGATCAAAATCATTTTCCAAGAATTAAAATATACATTGAACCGCTGACAAACTAATTTCGTAGTTGGTTATTATTTGTAGTTACTATAGACTACCTCAACAAATTTGTTGATGCACTATTCAATAATTTATCATTTTTTTAGATATTTGCCCTATTAATTTGAATTTTTTTGGTTGCTATTCATTGAGATAATGGATATTGAAACAATTTTTTTAAAAAACTAGAGATAGAATAAAGAGTCTTATGATGGTGTATTTAAAAATGTAGCTACATATAACAGAAAATTTTACAATTTTCATAAAAATATTATAGCAAAATCTCAAATAAGATTTTTATTCTTAAATTTTTTTATTTTTTATTATTTTTTTTTGTTGAGAAAATCACATTTAAGTAGGAATAACTTGTAATTGCATACCTTTATAAAGGTATAAATCGAAGTAAGTGAGCGGGGTTACATGTCACACTTTGACTTGCACTAAAGCCTCGTTTGGCAAGAGGTTATTTTAGCCAATTAGCCAAAAAGTTACTAAATTAGCCAAAAAGCCAACACCCCATACAAAAAAGTCAAAGATTCTCTTTTCTCTCTACTTTTTGCACATCTTTTCGTAATTAGCCAAAAAGTCATCCCAAACATACAAGTTTTTTTTTACCTACCTTTTTAGCCAAATAGCCAAAAAGTTACTAAATTAGCCTGTTCCCAAACGAGGCCTAAATATTGCGTAGTTGCACTTCTGATGCAATTATTTTTAGTAAATTTTTTTAGGAAAATGATTGAGAGCCCTAAAAAAGTTGCCCCTAATACCCCTAATTTCCAATTTTGGAAACTGTTTTTTTTTTTCTTTCTTTTTTCTTTTTTTTTTTCTTTCTTTTTACCCGAAATGGAATTTCGAGCCATTCGGGGCTCTCCATTTCGGGCCCTCAATCACCGCCCATTTTTTTAATATTTGAATATGAGTTTGAATTGGAATTTTTTTTTGTTTGTTTTTGTATTTGATGATTTTTTTTATTACAAGTATATCAAGATTAAATAAATATAAAAAATAAAAAAATTTAATTAATTTTTTTTTTAAAATCACTAAAAAATATAAATATACAAATTGAAAATCCAAAAAAATTGTTTTTAAAAATTTCAAACCAAAGAGCGGCGAAGGGGTGTGCGCGACGTAGTTCGGACGATTTGAAAGTAAAATTATAAATTGATTGTTGGATTTAAGGATTGGTAAATTACGATTTGAATGGTTTTTGGGCGAATTGACAAATTGAAGAACATTTTAACAAATTATCAAGCATTTACATAATATATAACATTAATTTATATAATATTTTTCATATATATATATAACACAAACTAGTTTTACATAATATTTTTTATTTATATTACTACTAATTTGTAATAAATTTCACATTTTAAATATCTCTAACTCATTTTTATTTTAATATTTTATTATAAGTTAAAAAATATATATGTATTACCTATAGCGGAGCGGAATAATTTTAAAAGTGAATTATAATAAAATTTAAGCTGCAATTAGCAGATAGAACAGTACATATTGATACACGGATTAAATAATTTCATTGACTTTAAACTAAAATAATTAAAACTAATACAAATACTAAATAAATACTAAAATAAATAAACATAACTATATATACAAGTACAAAAAAATATGTTTAACATAAAAAGTAAAGTAACCACTCTAGGCCAACTCGTGGTCAACTCATTAAATCATTGTTCCTAATTGACTGGTTAGGTAAACAAGTATAATTTGAAAGCAATTTGAAGCTCAACAACTCGTTTTTAGCACTAAAATAACGCGTTACGACGTGTTTAATTGAGAAATTTAAAAAAAAGACATGAAAAGTGAAAGAAAAACAGTAAGTGGAATGTGAATATTTCATATAATATTACATCTTTTTTTTTTTTCCTGAAATTCTTTCTTTTGAATGTAACATTTTGAAATATTTTTAAAACATGGTTACAAATACTTTTGACTTTTTTATGTGAGAAGGAAAGTGAGTTAAAAGTGAAAAAATAATTTTTAACTTAGCTTCTTAAAATAAGCCTTTATCTTATTGACTTATATAATTTATTTTGTTTTTCTGTATTTTTTTTAGTCTCAAAATATTTACCGAGGAGTAAATCAAGGAAAAAAAAAAAACATAGAACCCCAAAACTCTCACAAACCCACCATACCTGAGATATAATCCGATGCCTGAGAAGATCCGAAGAACCCGAATCAACCTCGTCCTGCAAACCCAAACCCGAGCCATGGGCATGCCCATGGGTCGCATGTGTATGAACATGAACATGCCCTTCATGCTCACCACCATGATGACTCTCTTCATCCCCATTCACAGGCCTCGCTTTCACAAAATGCGTTCTCGTATAATAGCTCGTCGCAAAAGCATCCACCATCATCGTCCCTATCGCCGCCAACATCGCCACCAGTCCGGTCACCGGAAAATCCCCGCCGAACGGAGTTCCGGCGAGGCAGGGGCTAGTCAGATCGGAGAATGCGTCGGGCAACACGTGGATGAATCCTGTGGCCAGGATTACTCCGGCGGCGAAGGCTTTGATTACGAAGAACACGTCGTTTTCCACGAAGGCTTTGCCGAGGATTGGGAGAGAGACTCCGATTGCGCTCGCGGTCAGGATTGAGGCGATCGCGGCGAGCTTGTATTTCAATGCCTCTGATTTGTTTTCACCTCCGGTTTCGGACTCGCATGTGCAATCTCCCAGGACTGAAACGGGGAGAATGAGAAGGAAACAGAGGAACAAAATGGGTACCCTGTTCATGTCTAGAGAGAGAGAGAGAGAGAGAGGAGAATGTAGGTAATGGAAACAGAGGAACAAAATGGGTACCCTCTTAATGTAGTCTATATGTCAAGGCTATCACAAACACACACACACACACATAAATATATATATATATATAGAGAGAGAGAGAGAGAGAGAGTGAGTGAGTGTGGGTTTAATGGTGGCTTGGCTGTGAAGGCTATCACATATATATAATATATATATTGGATAAATTACACTTCCACCCTGCTATTTGAGTTTAATAGATATTACTGTTTTACGTCTGAGAAATTACACTAATTTTTTATCTTTGTTATTATTTAGATAGATTAAAGATATTAAGGAGTTGTTTGGGATAACCTAAATAAATATATTTTTTGTCTTTTTATAAAAAGATGTGCAGAAAAGTAGAGAAGTGATGTGATAGAAAAAAGATAAAAAAATAAATTATTTGAAATATACCAAACTTGGCCTAAATTTATGTATTTTCTCTTCTTTTTTTTTATTTTACTTTATTTCTTTTATTTATTTTTTAAAATAATTTATTTTTTTTATTTTTCTATAAAGAGTTATTGCCTCTTTTTTTTTTATAGAGAGTTTGTAAAATAAAATTATTAACCCTCAAAACGAAAATGTAACTTTTAAAACATGAGAACATAAAGTGTAATTGAACCAAACATCGAAGGGCTGTCAGTGCAATTTGCTCATATATATATATATATATACACAGAGAGAGATGGAGTAAGTGAGAATCAGAGGAGAGAGTGACAGGGGAATGGCGACATGGAAATGGAATGAAGGAGGAGAGAGGGGGGAGAGAGTGACACGTGTAGGGTGGTGTTAGTTAAATGACGACATTATGAGTTAATAATAAAGTTAATTTTTTTTGTTATTGTGAATGCTTTAAAGTAGGTCCTGTCTGTTTGTTTGGTATTCTCCCTCATTTTAGGTGCACAAAATGTGTACGGCTCTCTTTCCAAAGTGCTGGACAGTATTTGTTAATTAATTAAAGAATTATTCATTTAATATTATCGATAATGCTACGTAACTCAAATTTTGTGACTTAAAAGTGACTTAAATGGTCAAAACGACGTCGTTTTGAGTACAAAACAACACAAAAATGGCCAAAACGACCCATTTGAGCCACTTTTGAGCAACAAAATTTGAGTTACGAGACATTTTCTTAATATTATTTACCATTCTTATGTCAACGAAGTAGGGATGACAATAGATAACTTACCTTGCGATATCTATGGAGACTCAACTCAAATACATAAATTTTTTTCTTTTTTTTCTTATTCATTGGGTAGGGTAATCGATATTCTTTAAATATTCACAGGGGATGGGTTGGGATGGGTACCCACTAATTTCCCCATATGTTTTTTTTTTTTTGTTTGTTTAAGATTTACAACCAAAACTAAATATACATTCAATCTTTTTTCTTTTATTTATTTATTTATTTATTCAGGTTCACAACTATTTTTTTTTTTAAGATCGACAACCAAAGCTAAATATATTTTCAATCTTTTTTATTTTTATTATTTTTTATTTTTAAGGTTCACAACCATTTTTTTTTTAATTTTTAAGATTCACAACCAAAGCTAAATATACATTCAATCTTTTTTATTTTTATTTTTTATTTTTTAAGATTCACAACCATTTTTTTTTTTAAGATTCACAATCAAAGTTAAATATACATTCAATCTTATTTTATTTTATTTGGCTCAACAATAAAATCAAATACACATTAATTAATATTGTCACATTATTCTTGTCAAATTTTATGCATATCTAGAATTTTTTAAATTTATTTAAAAAAATTAAGGAAACTGTCTAGTGTAGGTTTCGGTTTGTTTTTCTATGTTATTTTATTTTGTTATGTATTGTAATTTTCAGAATTGTTTGCTTGTTCTGAAATTTCAATTAACGAGTATGAATCTATTTGTTTTATATTATCACACAATTTATACAACATATATATATATATATATATATGAATGTATTTAAAAAGAATAATGTTTGAGAGCCACAATTTGTTTGGCTCAAATGACTCAAAAATGCCAAAACGACGTCGTTTTGGCATGTTTTGTGCTCAAAACGACGTCGTTTTGTGCTCAAAACGACGTCGTTTTGACAGTTTTGAGCCATTTGAGCCACAAAAATTGTGGCCCTCTACCATTGCCCATTTAAAAATAAGGAAATTGTAGAGAATTGAAACAAGCATGAGTCATGATTGGTTAGAAAGGATGGGTACAAAGATTTATTTGCTGAAAAAATAAAAAGGGAATACAAAATCTTACTAAATAATTTTTTTTAAAATAAAATAATTTTTCTTAGTTATGAACAGATTTAACTGAAATCAGCTTGTTTCCCAATGTTATGCTTCATTTATTTAGATAGAAAATATTTTTTATAAAAAAAATTAAAAATATATTTTTTCATATTTGGTGGTGGTGGTGATGGAACGAAGGTGAAAGTAAAGATTGTGACATAGTGGTGGGGTGATGGCCGCAGTGATGATGGTAGTGGCTATGGTGATGGTAGTGTGATAATGAAGGTGAGAATAGTGGTGATGGTGTTGTGAAATTAGTAAAAATTTAATTGAAAAAATATTTTTTGTTTTTTAAAAGTAACAAACAACAAAATTCGTGGGGGACTAAAGGAAGAAGATGGAGGATGGATTGGGTGTGGTAAAGCATAGATATCTTAAAATGAGTCGTTCAGATTTGTTAAAAGGTATAATTAGATTTTAGATAAATTAAAATGAATGGTTCAAATTTGTTAAGAGAAAGATGGTTTAATGTCTAAAATGTTTGTGACTAAGAGATTAACAAACAATTCCTTATTTATGCCCTGATGCAATTTAATATGGGTCTTATAACACTTTCTTCAAACACGTTATTTCACATTTTATTTCTTCAAACAGGCTCTTATAACATTGTAAACAGGTTCTTATAACATGTAGAGGAGAGAGTGAGAGAGAGATGGTTGTAATTTTTTTTTTAATCTTCCATGTTTTTTCACATTTTTTTTTAATTACTAAAACTTATTTGATTGTCTCAAAATTATATATTTAATTATTATAAACAAACTTTTTAATTAATTAATTAATGTGTATTTGATTTTGTTGTTGAACCAAATAAAATAAAATAAGATTGAATGTATATTTAGCTTTTGTTGTGAACCTTAAAAAAAATAAAAAAATAAGTTGTTAACATTAAATATATTAAAAAAGAAAGAAAAAAGATTGAATGTATATTTAGCTTTTATTGTGAACCTTAAAAAAAAATAAAAAAAAAAGTTTTTAACATTAAATATATTAAAAAAGAAAGAAAAAAAGATTGAAGGTATATTTAGCTAAATTTTTTTTAAAAAAATTGTTAACATTAAATATATTTAAAAAGAAAGAAAAAAGATTGAAGGTATATTTAACTTTTGTTGTGAACCTTAAAAAAAAAAAACCAAAACAAAAAAGTTGTTAACATTAAATATATTAAAAAAAAAGAAAAAAGATTGAAGGTATATTTAGTTTTTGTTGTGAACCTTGGAAAAAAAAAAAAAAGTGGTTGTTAACATTAAATATAAAAAATAAAAATGGGGGGATTAAAGTGGGTTGGGGAAAATCCAAACCTATTAGGAAATGGGCAGGGTGGTACCCATAGAGAATGGGGAATGGAGAAAATTTATTATAGGGGAATTAGAATGGGAAATTAATATCCACCCCATTGACCCCATTGCCATCTCTACAAGTATGACCTACCTGTGAAAAAAAGAGAAGGGAAAAAATGAAGAGCCATGTTGCCTACTTTAAATTTGAAGTTGTTTCAAATGACTTAAATTTTATTTTGTCAATTATTTGATCAGTTATTCGGTCGATCATTTGATAAAAAAATTGATAGTCACGATCGATAAAGTAACAATTACAATAGACAAGTGTTTCACTTGATTATTTTAATAATCGTTCAACTGATCGTCCGACCAATCGACTGAATATAAATTCAAATCATTGGAGACATTTCAATTCGAGATATTAAGGCTCAGTTTAGAAGGATTTTCAAATCCTAATTCTACTCACACATTGTAACATCATGTTTGGATAGAGTTTTATAATTAGTTTTCCACAACAAACACAAAACTCTACAGAAAACTCTGTAAAGCACGATTTTCGAAATTTTTTTTTTTGAAATTTGATCGAATCGATCATCCCACCGGACGTCCTACCGGTCGTTCGGCCGGTTGACCGGAACAGAGGAATTTTATTATTAATTTTTTTTGACATATGTTAATTTTTATATATTCGAATAAAATATATTCTGAAATTTTTAAATTTTTTTATATGTTTTAATAGAATTTTAAGTTGTATGTTTGGTTATGAATTGTAAGTTTTTGTATAAAATATCATATGTCACGTCAAAAATTCCCAACTTAATTCAAACTCTTTCACCAAATAAATTTTTCACACTCAAATTATAATTTTAAAATTTACAAATTCAAAATACAATTTATACTCTTAAATCATATTTACAAAATTATATCGAAGACAACTTAAATTTTTTTTTGAAATGCCAAAAGTGACGGTGGCAAATAGGGGTCCAAACAATGTTTGAATAAACAATTCCTAAATTGATCCAAAGTGGGCCCGTCGAATAAAATGATGACATGTACTTGACTTGGGAATAATTGGGATTGGGATGCTTCCGTGAAACACAGCAGCAAGTCCTGTGCGACTTACCACAAGGGCCATTGGGAGTTTGCCACTCTATTCATTGATTAAAGTTTGAATTTTTTATTTAAGTAGAAATCTGATAATTTAAATGGATTTATTTAAGTAGGAATCTGATAATTTAAATGGTTTAGTAAGTTTTTTTTATTTTTTTTTTATTTTGGCTTATAAGAATGGATAGTAGAGAATCTTATTTTAGAAGTGTTGGGTATCTAAACGAAAAAATTTGTGCGACTTTATGGATATACAGTGCCGTTTCATTTAAACAATAGCATTTATTTTGTTTGGTTTTAATTTTTTTTTAAATTATTATTATTTTTTTTGGTGAATTTTTTTAGTATTTTAATAATTTTTTTTTTTAAAAAACTTTTTAGATACACTTAATATAAATACAATTAAAAAGTATAATATTTGTGAAACAAATCTGTAAAAAAATCACTAAATATCAAAAATTA